TGTAGGGAACGTCATGTTATCCCACTTCTCCTAGAAGCAAATTTGATAGCAAAAAGGGATAAAATATACGCTATATTTAAAACACAGCATGCAGTTTGGGATTCCTGTCTTTTTACTCTGCAAGAAGCACACATGCTTTACTCTGCAAGAGGTATATACTTCGATTGGGGCCAAACATACTTACTTTAAAATTAAAGTAATAAAGGAATCTTCAAATGCATGCTACATACATGGGCAGCTGGCAGCTTGCATGTCAGTGGGACTGTAAATACACTCGGGCTTAGTCTGAATTGTAAAAGAGCTGTTCAAGGTGCTGAATCCTATCTCTAAAAGAGGCTCAGCATCTTGGAGAGTTCCTTTAAAATTCAGGCTAGGGCCTAGAGCAGATTCATGCCACTGGCTAGTATCTAAAGCAGAAAGACCATGAGGAAAACTATATCTATCCACCGCCAATTTGTACTCTTGAGCAGATTACATCACCTTCTCGGGGTTCCATAATGTGTCAGTCCTTGGACAGCCATTTTTATATATGCCTCAAATTCAAGCAGTGAAAAAAGCAGAGGGCTATGCCACTTGAGCAGGGTGGAGAACTTTTACCTCACCTGGGATTTCAAATCCAGTGTTCAGGGTTTCCACAGGCTATTTATTTGTTTAGCTAGTTAGTTAATTTGCTGAGCAAGTTAAAAATTCCTCCATGGGGAATACTGACATTTGCATTATCCTCTTGCAACTAGAAGAGGTACATATAGAGATTCTGTAGCACCTTTCAGACTAACTGGAAAAAAAATCATCTTTTTTTTTTTCAATTAGTCTCAAAGGTGCTACAAAATCTCTCTATATATATTAATTCTACAGACTAACACGGCTATATCTTTAAATTCTACCATTATGGAAAGCACCAAATTTAGCTGAAGGAAGTGGAAAATCCATCAACCTCTTCAGAAAACTTGCCCAGATACAGACAGAAATTTTCTTTTCAACAAGTGCAAGCAATGGGATGTCGTTCCTGAGGACCTACGTGTGGGGAGCCCTTTGCAAAACTATGTATCATGTAGAGTTCATGGGTTCTACTCATGCTGACTGGTTCTACAGAAGCCAACATTCCTTTTCAGTTTTCTTCTCCTGCACCTCTGTCTGTCCCTTGCTTCCACTCCACCATAAGCATCTGAAGAAGTAGACTAAAGTCTACAAAAGCTAATGCTACAAACATCTTTTTTTCCAGTTACTCTCAAAGGTGCTACAAAATGTGTGTGTGTATATATATATTCTATAGACTAACATTGCTATATCTTTAAATTCTAGAAGAGGTACAGTTCAGGAACCACTTAATTATTTGATTCTGCTGTGTGTAGAAAATGACCCAAAGATTTCCACAGCTTCAGAAAATATCAATCTTGGCTCGTTGGACCCCACCATCAAAGACAGGCAAGGCAGCTGTATATACAAGAAAGAAATTTCTCCTCAAAATCCATGCTTTGGCATCTTTCCTTACAGACTTGACTCTTTCCAAGATCAGAAGGAGTCAAAAAATCAAGCTGCTTTAGCTAATCTGTTGCTTTCTGAAGCACAGCCTGGGATTAAATGGGTGGTTTCTTTATTTTTAAAGGTGCCTTTTGCACTCTGTTGGCCTACCCACATTTTCACTTCTTTCAGAAGGATGGGCTGCTCAGTGAGCACTTGTACCAGCCCATCCTTCCCAAGATGATGGAAGGGTGAAGAAACATTTGATTGTTATGCACACCAAACCAAGTGTGCAAGAGACCTCTCCCTAAAAGGTCTCTGTCAATAATAAAGGAACAGGAACACAGACTAGAAGAAGGCCATACATCTTTGGAAAATCCTGACTTTCCTTTTTTCACTATTTACTTCTCTAAGTGGGAGGAGCTTCTAAAACAAGCAAAAATAGTAAAAATAGCCATCAGTAGCACTATTAGCATAGACACACAAGGACATAGTTCCTCCAATTTCTCAACCCAAATCTATTTCCTTAAATTTCTTGATTTATTTCCATATCTTAAATTTCATTGCCCTTGCATTTGCATTGATAAAATATATGTTGCTACTTTTGTTGGTGTTGAAAAAACCCAATTAATCTCTTTAATAAAGGATAACCTCTCCGTTTGTTCTATGAATTATGATGTCTCAACTATAGATTTTTTTAAAACATGGTTTTCATTCATTTGTTCTCTGTTCCCAGCCACAATCTCAGTGTAAAGTATAACATTACTGTTAAAAAGAAACCTAAATTCTTGAAAGACCATTTTCATTAATGTGAATATTATAGAAAACAGATGTTAATGGAGAAACTATTCAGCTTTACTTATATTTATCCAAGTGCAGCATAAGAGATCAGTTTTGCTTTCAGAAACATAGATCGATTCCTCTTGGGTATCCACCACAACACAGTCTGTAATAGGATCCTGAACCTTTCTCATGCTAAATCAATTCAAGATACGCTGTTGTTTTTAAGAAATATTCAACAAAGCTAATAAGAATGAAACTTCATAGGCAATAGTCAACGTTCTTAGTTTGCACTGACATTTGACACGCAGGATTGCTATAGGTGTTGATAATCAAATTTAAGTAATCCTGTCCTTGACTTAAGCTGGCTGTGTGGGAGAGATAAGAATTCTTCCAAGTTCTTTTTGCTCCAGTATCGACTGTGGACACCTTTTGTTATTCTGTGCCTTCATGTCATTTCCAACTTATGGTGACCCTATCACAAGGTTTTCTTGGCAAGATTTGTTCAGAGGAGGTTTTGCCATGGTCTTCCTCTGAGACTGAGAGTGTGACTTGCCCAAGATCACCCAGTGGATTTCTATAGCTGAGCAGGGATTCAATTCCGGTCTCCAGTGTCATAGTCCAAATCTTAAATCACTATACCACACTGTACCCTACCTCTGATTCTTTCAGCTTTCTATGCATAGATGCAAGAGCAGACTGGGGTTGTAGCTAATTTTGCAGACAATCACAGCATACCATCATGGAGTCCCACAGGAGAACTTTGATCACATATATCAGGAAGAGAGAATACAGGCCATCTGGAGAGCCAAATTTTGTCCACTATCCTCCAAGCAAAAGTATGCAAAGTATAACCTGCATCACCTTCAACTAGCCTTTTCTGGCACCCCTTCCTATCACTGGCTCTTTTGTTTAGGGCTGATGGTATTTGCAGTCCAACAATATCTGGAGATCCAGGAAGACCTGTAATTTTCAGGAGCACCACTCTGTAACTCAGGCCCATAGAGCATTCACATGGAAAACTGAGAGACACTACTAAAAGAATACCTGAATATAACAATAAAGTGGCAAAGGCATATAGTTAACATTTTATTGCTAACATTTGTCTTCTTAGAGTGTAGTTAATATGGTGAATCACAGATGTCCCTTTTAAAAAAAAAAGATAACAGCAGCTTCAATGGCATTTTTTTAAAAAGTATAATAGCAGAGTTCAAATCCCAACTTGGCAATGCAAACCCATTGGGTGACCTTGGGCAAGTCACATGCTCTTAGCCTCAGAGGATGGCAATAGCAACCCCCCTCTGAAGAAACTAGCCAAGAAAACCCTGTGATAGATGAATGCCTTAGGGTCACAAAAAGTTGGAAATGACTTGAAGGGACACAATAACAACAACAACAAATAAGAGCAGCTCCAAGAATCCACTCAGGATCAGGGCAAGAGGTATAATTTTAAAGCAATAGCTACTCTCATGGCCAACCCTATCACTAGACAAGAAGTAGATTCTGGAGCCATGAAAGGTAAGCCAATAATTAGCTACTTTTTAAAAACGTTATATGTTTCTCTCTCTCTCCTCTCTCTCTCTCTCTCCCCCTGTGTCATTATTTGCCAGGGATGCAGAGATATATTGAATTTTCTACAAATGTACCTAAACAACTTTACTCACTTTGGGTAATATATGTCCCTTGACTTGGGCAGAGGGGTTGAGGGGGTCCATTTGCTGCTCTACCTCTAGCAGAAAAATACCTTGGGTTGAGCTTCTCTTTCAAAGACCCCCCCAAAAAAACCCCACACTTTTGCTTGCAAATAATTCTGTTAGATCTCAGTGTTGCTCTCTCAATCAACCCTGCTGACGGTGCAGCACCAGTTGGAAAGGAGTAACTTCTGGCAAGGTTCCAGGGCCCTGTTGCTGCATGGATGGGTGCAGATTGCATCAGCTCTATTTAAGAGGAGCAAGCAAAACTAGTCCTTGTGTGGGAGAAGGGTGGGGGGGAGGAACTGGGCAGTTCAGCACCCAAGCAGCATGTTTGCTGACACTAGTACAGGACAGGCCGCCAGACTCTCAAACAAAAGCCTCCTCATTATCTCTTAATCATTGCTTTTGCAGTGCCTGCAATTAACGCCTGTCTGAGTGGCGGCTGCTGGTGGGGCTGGAAAGGCACATTAAAGCCAAGGAAGCAGCTAAAGGGCTAGTGGGGAGGCCCTGTCTTCCTCTCCTCAGAGGTGGCCAAGACTAGGGAGCTGAGGTGGTTTCTTTCAGGGCCTGAGGTCAAGGTGGGAAGCTTTGGTTGGGCAACAGAGAGAATGAATAAGACAGCTGGCTGATGGATGGCTCATTCATGGCACTAAATAAACTTGCATGCTTTTAAGATCAAGGGCTGTCCACCCAGTTCTTTCACTGAAGCTTTCAAAGGCTTGCAAATGAGAACATTCTAAGACCTAAAGTACTAAAATTTGTCATGCAAATTGGAAAAGCTCTTTTTCAAGTCTAGTGACAAATACAGTCTGGATTCCTTGATTTTTCTATCCAATGTCTTTAAGGCAAGAACTGTGACATATACTGCTGACTGGAACAGATATGTATTTTTATTTATTATTATCTTCAGCTTCACGTAAGGAGTCTGGGGCTGTGTTGTTGTTGCTGTTGATGTTATGTGCCTTCAAGTGGACTTTGACTTATGATTATCCTTTCATGTTGTATTCCTCTCAAGATTTGTTCAGAGAAGGTTTACCATTGCCTTCCTCTAAAGCTGAGAGAGTAAGTCAGCATGGCATAGTGGTTTGAGTGTTGGACTTCAACTTTGAAGGCCAGAGTTCAATTCTCTGCTTGGCTATGAAACCCATTGGGTGACCTTGGGCAAGTCACATGCTCTCAGCCTCAAGGGAAGGCAATAGCAAACTTCCTCTCAACAAATCTTACCCCCAAAACCATGTAATACATTTGCTTTAGGGTCACCATAAGTCTGAAACAACTAGAAGGCACACAACAACAGCAAAGGCTGAGAGAATATGACTTGTCCAAGGTCAACCAATGGCTTTCCAGGGCTGAATGGTGCTTTGAATTCTAGGAGCTCAGAGTCCTAGTCCAAAACGGAAATCACTGCACAATGCTGGCTCTCATTGTACCAAATATTCTTTGCATTCTAGCTGCATAACAATCTTGCCAAGCAGGTTAGACTGCAAGACAATGTCTGCCCTAAAGAAACCCAATCAGCTCAATGAATGAACAGAGCTTGGAATGCAGAATTCCCAGCTTTAGAACAGGAAAGCCAAGCTCTATGTTGTCACATCCTAAGATGACAGGGTAAGTCATAATCCAGTGCTTTAACCACTATACAACACTGACTAATTCATTTGATTCTTTGAGTTGTGCAACCACCTGGCATTTCATGCCTCACCATGAGTGACAAGAGACCCCAATAATTTTGCATGTTTTCATAGCTTTGAAGCAAAGCTAGTATGGTCATGTAGTAAGGCTAGCTAATGATTAAAAAGCTTCCCACCTATGTTTCACATGGAGAAACAAAAAACAAAACAAACTTGGAATCCTGTGCATATAAACCATGTGTGGTGCCATTGAAGGATGGTCCGTTCCAGAGCTTGAAAAGGCTAAAGAAGAGTTAAGACTTTATTATGCTGCTTACAACATTATCCACAACCATCTGAAGTCATCCTCTTGCCAATTTTTTTTTACAACTGCAAAACTTACTTTGAAAAAAGGTATACAATTTAGCAGCTGAGTTCTTACAGAACTTTTCTTGCTGTTCTTTAATGGTTAATATCAGGGTTTAAGCATTCCCAATGAGAACTTTAAAAATTCAATTGCAATTTAGAAAAAAACAAAATAAAAGTAAAAAAAAAGCTGAGTGCCAAATTATTCAGTATGGCTATGATTGTAATGCTTCAGATACATTCACTTGATATGCCAGCTACCAGACATCTGAGAACTGCAATCTTTTATTATAGAGCTTTTCACCAAAGACTAAGAAAGACTTGCTGGAATTTGGGGTAGCTTTTCCTTTCTTGTTCTTTCCATTACAACGAGCTCAAATGCACCTGCCTAATAACAAGAACTTCCTTTTTCAGTTCCATGATGAATATTCCTTATTTCCAACCTTTACATTGCCCTAGCAAATAATAGGTTCCTTTATTTCAAAGCATTCCCTAATTTAAACATTGGTGGTAGCAAGCCATTTCTCCCAATCATTAATCATGACTACTAGAATTATAATCAAAATATTCAAATGTTTTCCCAGAGAAATTTCAAGTAGCCTTTCCCCAACATGTCACCCTCCAGATGCATTTGGGCTACAGATCCTATCATCCCCCATCTTGGCCTTGCTAACTGCATGATGAATGTTGGACATCAACATATCTGGTGTGCATCAAGTTGGGAAAGGCTGCTCTAGTTCCTCCCTGATGCATGAATGTGAAAAATGTACACCACTTCTTCCCCAGATCTTGAGGTGACCTTCATATGCAAATTTGTTTTTCCTCCTCTCTCTCAGTCCTGCTAAACAGCTTCTGCTTTTGCGCATGGCGATGAACTCTGTTCAATAGACACAGATTCTATCCCAATAGAGCTCTGACTGCAATGCATGAGACTTGGACTGCATACCAAACAGCTGTAAGCCCATAGTCCTCCTGGAAGACTCCACAGGAGGTGGGGAGAGAGGAAGAAAATGATTTTTACAAGAGGAACAGTAATTCCAAAACGCCCAGAAGCTACATTTGTTGTGATAAAGCAACAGGGCTAAAAACAGTCCTCAAACAGATTTTGGCTTCTCAGTGACTCAACCCTGTCATACTTTTCCATGTTGCCAGCCTTTCACAAATGGAATCAAACAGAAAAGAGGTTCCCTTGAAAACCTAGCAGTCATCTGTACATACTGACTTCTTAGAATGTTTTAGGAGCCATCCTTCAATGCACACCCTCAGATTACGGAACTGAAAGAGCAGTGATAGTGTTAAAAGCACCTGCAAACTGAGGCCAGGGAAAAACAGGACATATATCAAGCTGGCTTACCCAAACTATTTTTCCATGCAGTCCAGTATCTTCCACTCTGACTGGCAGGAGCTATCTAGGATTTCCACAGACATTTTTCACTCTCATTTGCTATCAGATGACGACTACCTGACCATTTAAATCATTCCAGAGAAGACCAAGGTGCTGCTGGCCAGTCAAAAAGCAGCAGATCAGGGAATAGGGATTCAGCCTATGATTCAATTACACTTCCCTCTGAAGATGCAGATCTGCAGTTTGGGTATGCTCCTGATTCATCCATGAGCCTGGAAACTAGTCTTGGCAGTGGCTAGAGGTCCATTTGCACAGGTAAGACTTGTGCACCAGCTGCACCCATTTCTTGAGATGTCAGACCTGGCCACAGGGATAAACTCTTCAGTTACCTCCCATCTGGATTACAGGCACTATATGTGGCTTTATGTGTAGAGTGTTCAGCAACTTCAGCTGGTCCAAAGAGCTACAGCCAGATTTTTAACTGGAGCTGGCTACAGGAAGAGTACAACTCCCTGGTTGCAACAGCTCCACTTGCTGCCTGTCTGTTTCCAGAAGAATTCAAAGTGCTGATAGTGACCTTAAAAACCCTACACATTTCACATCTGGGTTATTTGAAGGACCATACTCTCTCATATGCCCTGCCAATATTCTGAGATCTTCTGAGGAGGCCCTTCTCACTGTCCCACCCTCACAAGTATATTTGGTGGAAACACAGGAAAGGGCCTTCTCAATCCCAGGCTCTGGAACTCCCTTCCCAGAGAGGCTAAACTCGCATCCTCCCTGCTGTCTTTCCACAAGCAGGTAAAACCCTTTTGATTCTTGCAGACTTTTGAGAGTTGAGTTTTCAGGGGAAACGGGCTTTGAATAATATTTGCTGTTGTTTTAATTTGTTTTAACTGGTTTCAGATTTTATGATTTGATTGGAAACTTGCTTCAATAATAGGGATGGAATAGCCAGAGGCTGCAATGTTACTTTTTAGAAGGCACTGGTTACTTTACTCAAGTGAGCACACAACAGGTCACATGTTACTGTCACTAATTATGCTATTACAAAAGCACAGAAAAATGCTCTCTGGCTCCTCTGTATGCTCAATTCAGAGACTGCAACTTGGAAATATTGAGAAAAATGCAAGACATTACAAGCAATCCTTTCTAACTGCACCATGAGGCAGTCACCCATGTGATCCATCTCCTGTCCCCATTGCTCAGCAACTCAATCAATAATAAACACTGCAGAAAACCTATTTCTGTTCCACCAAAAAGTAATGAATCATAGCCATGGTCATTAGAAGCAAAAAGGGAACTTGTTCCTTTTGCAAAAAAAAACTAATTACAGAGAAATTAATTAGAAAAAGAAGCCACTTCTTAGATCTCGGGCAGCATTTTTCATTGCACTTGAGGGCAACAGTAGCTCATAGGGAATCGGGCAGGCTATGTGGCACATGGAGTTCTGCCTTCCTACACCTTGCTGCTGCTTCTCATCTCTTAGTATGTGCCACCTCAGGTGGGTGCCTCAACAATACCTAATGGTACAGTGTTTGGTTCTAGGATCTCCCCAAGGATACCAAGATGTGGATGCTCAAGTCTCATTAAAGGTAAACGTTTCCCCTTTGATAAGTTTGCATAGTTGTGTGTGTGTTAACTGCTAAGTCACTACATCCCGTTCAAGTCTTCTTATTATATTCTTGTAAAATTGTGTCCCTTTTATAAAATGGGAAAATCAAGCTTTGCTTTTGGTAATTTTTTAAAAAAAATATTTTCAAACTATGGATGGTTGAATTCAAGGCTTCAATATTTGTGGATTCAGAGGATTGACTGTACAGCCATCCCAGCATCTTCCCAAAAAAAAAAAAAGGGGGTGACAAAACTCTCTGTGATGGGCACATTCATAGAAACTGGATTTTGTTGTTGCTGTTGTCCCTAGCATATCCCAACTTTTGTGATCAGTAAACATGTAACAGAAATTGCTTGACAGGTCCAGGGTCTGCATAAGACCAGAGTTTTGACAGGCTACAATCCCAGAATCCCCATGAACATAGGGAGGTTCTAGGAACTGTAGCTGAAAAAGTATTTTTCAAGCTCTGCATAGGACTTTTTTAGCCAACGTAGCATGTAGCTCCTTAAGCTTCTCCAAAATATAGTGGCCATAGAATCCATGGTCAATTGAACTCTGCTTTCATTCACATCACTCAGCAACAGCCAGAGTAACTACATGTTGGGAGAAATCAAGTGGCCTACATCTACCCATCCAAAAGGTACATTCAAAAGAAGTGAGATATATTCTTCTTTGTTCTACAATACATAGCCACATGCACAAAACCTGCTTTCAGTAACACCAGAGGATTAGGGCCTTCATGCTAGTCACAAGGGAGGATTAAGCCATAATGCATATGTCTGGCCAGTGTTTGCACAGAATTATTTGTTGCCTGACATCAGGTCTGGGCTGAAGAATGAACAGAGTCTGGAGATAAAATGCACACACCCCCTTGTAGCCAGACAGCTACATAACCTCACTCTGAACTTATGTTAGCAATTAGAACAAGAATAGCCAACAAAACATTGCCCTTTAGACTGCAAGATGGAAACCAGCCAATAGGAGGCAGTAAAGTGATTAGCAGTGAATATGGTTTTAAGTGTTTGCTGTCAGATTACCATATCCAGCAAATAAAAAAGAGTAGGGACAATATTACCCTACTGTCTCCACAGGTAACCTGAACCAGTGCTTCTCAAACTATCTGATATGGGGGACTGCCATTCCACCTCCCCCATTGTGCCAGGAACTGGTACCATTTTTATGCCGTATTATTAACATGGACT